AGAAAACCCGAACCCCTCACTTCACAGCCCAGCCCTGACAGTCCATTTTGCCAGCAGCAGTGACAGCAGGATGCCCTTGGTTGTTGCAATTCCTGCTTCACAACCAGAGCACTAGTTGGCAGACCAGTACACCCACAGAGACAGTATCAGCAGAGACCCACATCTACCCCATGGCATAAGGACACCCAGGCCTGGTACACTTCTCCAAATAGGTGGCCCACTGATGCAAGGCATTCCAGAGAAGCATGTTTTCCTCCCACAAATGGCACTGACAGCAGGAATTGAGAGGAAGCCCCCAGAATATCATTGCAAGGATTTGAAAACTAAATTGTCCTTGAAATGACAGAAGTAAATGAGAATAGACACTCCAAACCTAAATAGGTTGACTACCTACTAAAATAGAAGATTAAATAGGATCAGGAGCCTCCTAATATATAATAATAACTAAGATGTTCGGAATATAAACAAAAATTACTCGCCAGACCCCAAATCAGGAAATCTACTATCGGAATGAGAAATGACAATCAACCAATGTCAATCCTGAGATGAATAAGATGTTGGAAGTATCTGATGTGGATTTTAAAGAGCTGCCATAAAAAAATTCAGAAATCAAGTCTAAATTCTCTTGAATCAAATGAAAAAATAGAAAATCTTAGCAAATAAATAGATGTTATAAAAAATGGAGAATCATAGGGCTGAAAAATACAATAAGCAAAATAGCAATAATAAAAAAAACACAACTTGCTGGTTGGTACTAGTGGTAGAGGGGAGATGGTGGACAATGAAATCAGTCAAGGAAGACAAGTCAGTAGAGTTTATGTCGTCTAAAGACAGAGTTAAAATAGACTGAAACGAATGAACTGAACATCTGGGATCTGTGCCAAAGGGGGAGCATGTGTGTCACATGGTGACAGAAGGAGCAAGAGAGGGAGGAGGTGGCGCCTCCTTTAAACCACCAGCCCTAGGGCGAACCAACAAAGCAAGAGCTCACTCATTGTCAAGGGAAGGACACAAAGCCCTTCAGGAGGAATCCGCCCCCATTATCCAAACACCTCCCACCAGGCCCCACCCCCAACACTGGAGATTGAATTTCAACATGAGATTTGGAGGAAATAAGTATCCAAACTATATCATAACTTGAAAGTAAAAGGACAGAAAAAGAAAAATCATAGAAACCATCCCAAAAGAGCAAAAGTGGCTCTACTGGTATCAGATCATGTAAACTTCAGAGCAAAGAAAATCACTTAGGACAAAGAGGCGCACACAGTATGTGATGATAAAAGGATCAATCAGCCAAAAATATGTAGCAATTTTAAATGTTTATACACCAAACAACAGAGTTTCAAAATACATGAAGCAAAAACTGAGAGAACCGAAAGGAGATAAAGAAAAATCCACAACCATAGTTGGGTCCCTTAACATCCCCCAGTCTCAACAATTGATAAAATTACTAGCCAAAATCAGCAAGGATGCAGAATTAAACATCACCAACCAATGGGGTCTAATTGACATCTATAAAACATACTACACAACAATAGCAAAATATACATTCTTTTCAAGCACCCATGGAACATTCAAGATAGACATATACCGGGTCATAATCCTCAACTCATTTAAAAGAATTGAAACCATACAGAGTAAGTGCTCTGCCCATAATAGAGTCAAACTGGGAGTCGAAAAGAGAACAATCACGGGAAAATCTCCAAATACTTGGAAATTAAACAACGCGCTACTAAATAACCCATGTGTAGGGGATGGCCCTAGAAGAAAGCATGGATGGGAAGAACGTGAGCAGGGTGAAAGAAGGGTCAGGTGAAAACACCTGCCTGTAGCTGCTTGTGTGCTGCGTGCAAAGCTCAGCTGAAAACAGCTGACCTGCATGGAGGCTGTTAAAGAAATCAGCAAACGACTCTGACCCTTTGCACGTGTCCTTGGGAATAAATAGGGGGAGGAAGTTAGCAGAGGACGCCATTTTCTCCTTTAGGTGCTGGTCTCTCCCTTTCTCTCTAAACACTGTGTGCACCGAGCTCAGGAGCGGAAGAGTAGCCCCAACAAGTGGTGACCCAGAAATCCGCACATCCAGCGAGCGTTTTCGCTGCAAGAAGAATCATCCCGGTAAGGGACGGTCCCGCCCGCTGCTTTGGGAAAGGGACCGCCGCGTGTGGTTTCAGGAGGGGGTTTCTAACACGGGCGGCACCTGACGAAAGATCAGGATTTATCTGCGCACTTTGCAACAACTCTTATGCGCCGTAAGACAGCACGGCCCCGGGTTCCCAGATGAGGAAATGTTAGAGTTAGAGCTCTGGGAGCAGGGAAGGTTTTTAAGAAGAATCTCAGGCAGGGGGTTCCGGGCCCCTTGCCGTGTTGACTGCATGGGGTCTGGTGCGAACACCACCGACTCCCTTGCGTGTTCCTGCGGGTTCTCATCCGTGGGAACCCGGTCCTCCTCTGCTGTCTGCTCCCCGAGAAGGAGCCCGTGTCCCCTGCCGTAACATTCCCAAATCCTGAGCTCTTCTCTCCACCGTCACCTTCTGTGGTTCAACAGGAGGAGCAGCTACCTCCTCCTCCCCTCTCAAAGGGGGTCTTTATCCTCCCCTGGTAAACCGTCCACTTTTCAGCATTGCCTACCAGAGAGCCAGTCTTTATGGGGACGAGATTTGCTAGAACAATGGAATCTTCTTCTAACTACCCGGCCTTTCATTAGGGGCCGCTGCTCAGGTGCATCCAATACAACCCGCACCTTTGCAATGGGCCACTCATTCGCCCGTCTGGATAGAGCAGTGGCCCATTAAGCAGTATACAACATTTAAGATCTCTTGTCCAGGACCAACTTAAAGCGGGACATATAGAATTAATTCATAGGAGGCTAACAACAGTTTTTGTATTGCAGTCAACTTTGTTTAGTCTTATACCTCACACATGTACTGACCAGTTCTTTTTTTTGAGACAGAGTCAGGCTCTGTTGCCCGGGCTAGAGTGTCATGGCGTCAGCCTAGCTCACAGCAACCTCAGACTCCTGGGCTCAAGCAATCCTCCCGCCTCAGCCTCCCGAGTAGCTGGGACTACAGGTATGTGCCACCATGACCGGCTAATTTTTTATATATATATTTTTAGAGGCGGGGGTCTCGCTCTTGTTCAGGCTGGTCTGGAACTCCTGACCTTGAGTGATCCACCCGCCTCGGCCTCCCAGAGTGCTAGGATTACAGGCGTGAGCCACCGCGCCCGGCCCTGACCAGTTCTTTATGTCTGGGTTGCAAATGAGATGGTGTCTTTATACCTGAGACAGATATGTCAGGGTCTGTTTGTCTCCTGCTCTCTCCATGTTCCCGGCCAATCCTATCCTGGGTATGGTGGTGTAACCTACAATGCCAGGCCTCCTTCCACAAATCCAGTTTGTGATCCACATACTGTGGTTCCTGTGTCCACACCACTCTCACATTCTGGATTGAGACCGTAGAGAGTATTGTAAGAGAAGGAGTCGGGCACTATAGATTACTATTGTGTATCAGTAGCAGAGTGGAGGTTTTTATCTCATGCATGCTTAATTGATTCAAACCATTCCACTACGATCTTTTTAAAAAATGAAGAAAGACTGTGATAGTTGGATTGTCATACAATTCTTGCTTTATAATTATTTCCACACTAGCCAAAGGAAGATAATCTTTGGTGTCAATTGTGTGAGAATTTGTTCATTATCAAGTAAATGAGAGACTTAAAATGAAAAGTGGTTTCATTGTATGGTGAAATAAAGAAGCTTTCTCTGTAGATGAAAAGACTGTTAAAATGATTAACGGTAATAGGGAAGAAAGTAATATTTCTTGCCTCTAAGATAAGGTAATGAAGTGTCTATCTTCAAGAAGCTTTCATTTGAATTCAACTGCTGATGGAAAATGTTATCAGCTTGCCTTTTTATTGTGTCCGCATTGTTAGAAGTAGACTGAAATTTAAGCAATACATCTGTTTCCAAACTATCATTACTTGGCCTGTAAAACAAAATCATCAGAATGAGTGAGGTCATCGCCACAGTAATTATTATGTTCTACCTTATTACTTAAATATATCTTCAAGAAAATACAAAATAAATATGTTATGCATTTTATTGTCATGGATTTTTTTCCCCTTATATCATACAGGTGTTAAGATATAAATTATTCCCTCCTTGTAAAACTTGATCATACTCAGGGAGGGGAGAGTACCTGATAGTTCTAGAGCTTTTGTTTTTTTAAAAAAAATATCAAAAGCACTTGTTAAATCCACCAATTATATATATATATAGTATGTGATATATATCACATATATAGTATACTATATATGTGAATATATATTGTTTCAAAAATTCATAATATCGTTAAAGTAAAATTGAGAGCAATAATGATTTGAAAAATCTTCATCTGAAATGAAAAGTCTTTAAAAGGACAATCAGTAGAATATATATTATCACTACTCAAGAAACTCTCACTATAGGCACTCTGTACAGAAGGAATAACAATTAAATGTAAAGTATTAAACTATTTTTGCTCTTGCTGTATCCAAGATCTTTAGATCCTGTCCACAGAGCAAATAATTTAAGAAAAACAAAATAATACAAAGTTATCTTTGTCTATCATACAAATTAATTAGTTGTGATTACCTGAAGTTGATGACATGAGACTTAATGTAATGATGGTTTAAACTGGATCTTTGAAATATCTTATCTATCTGAGAAAAGACAACAAAATCCAACAGAATAGATCTTCGTTAAATATGAATTTCAGATATTTCTATACATCACAAAAATGCTTATATAAGCCTGCTGTGATGTACATGTCATTAATATTGATGTTTGTTTACAGCTATTCCCCAAAAGCTCATTTGGGCATAATCTTGTAGTCATAAACATCATCCCTAAAACTGCACGTTGATATTTGAACAACTTATCACGTGGTCAAAGATGGCAGAAATAAAGAGTAGAATTAAGCTAGGTATTTCAATAGCTGTTATAAAAGAGACATGGGTTTGGAAGTGCAGAGATTTAAAAGCTTGATATGTACATATGCATCAACCAGTGATCGTTCAGTATCATTCAAGCTCAGTTATCCTCATGGATGTAATTGAAAGACCATATTTTTAGGTTTTAATGAAACTTTTTAGGTCACTCCTTGATCTTGCGGTAGATCAGGGAGGGGAGGAGAATGTATATTTGTCGGGCACTTCTCCAAAATCAAAAAATGCGTGAAAGGATTCCTTAGAGTAAGGTAAGACTGTAAATGCCACTAGTGTGTCACGTTAGACTTCTTACGTGGGATAATTTCTCTGTGGTATAAAATCCTAGATCAAATTATTTCTTAATAAAGCCACAGCTTGTTACAGAATCTGTGGTCTTATAATCCTGTTTATCACCATGTGGCTTGCCAAGCTGGCTTGTCAGGAAAAAAAAACAATTAGATGCTAAACCTTAAGTGAACCTGAGTCTGCATAGTTCCATAAATCAAAAGAGAAGAGCTGCAAAAGTGTGAAGCTGGGTGTATGTCAAACAGTGCTTTTCACTCATCCAACTTAATTTATAAGATTTTCTTTGGTGAATTGCCATGCAATAACATTGGATAGGCTGGAGGGCACAGGTGTATTAAGATATCAATAGTTATTCAAAACAAATGACTGTGTTTTCCTTATGACTAACTATAAAGGGATATTTGTTTTTGAAGAAAATAGTTTTGTGTATACACACAGGTACATTTATATGACAAAAGCAATACATATATATTTATTGTAAAAAGATTTTAAAAGCAAGCAATACAGAAAAGTGTAATGTAAAGCATTAAAATCATTTTAATTTTTTTTGAATGATACTTTTATTCTTTTTTATTTCAGCGTATTATGGGGGTACAAATGTTTAGGTTATATTTGCCCTTGCCCCATCCAATCACTGTCTAGAGAAACTGTTATTTACATTTTGGCATATGTGCTTCCAGATTTTACGTTTACATTTTTTATATACATGTAAAATATATTCTATCTACACATATACAGATGTATATATTATATCTATGTTTTCTGCTTGCTTCTTTCCATTCTCTTTCCAATTTCATCATTTTTTGCCCTTGAATTCACAGAGAAAAGTCACAGCTTCATGAGCCATATATTATCCATGGCAACTGAGCACATAAACAGTCTTGATTATCAAATTCCACAAGAAACTATACAATTCATTTTAGGTACTGGTTTTAATCTTCTCTTCTAGGAAAATGTTTGCTATAACTGTAACCCGCATTCTAAATCATGGGTCTGCAGACTACAGCCTGTAGGCCAACTCTGGCTTGCCACTTGTTTTTGTATTGCCCATCATCTAAGAACAGTCTTCATAATTTTTTTTTAATAATTAAAAAAAAAATCAAGAAGAATATTTTCTGACAACTAAAAATTTTACAAAATTCAACTTTTGGTGTTCATAATAAATTTTTATTGGAACATAGTCACACTCATTCGTGTATGTATTATCTATAGCTACTTTCACACTATAAGGGCAACAGTGAGCAGTTGCACAGACATTATGTGGCCTGCAAAGATGGAAATATTTACTATTCTGCATTTTACAGAAAAAGTTTGCCTACTCCTAGTCTAAATTACTTCACTGCCCTTCTTTATGTTGTCTCCACTTGTGCTCTAGGGGACAGGACCAATACTAGTAAGTTGGTCATTTATTTATTAGTCATTTCTTTGATGAGTATTTTTATGGTTCTACCATGTGCAGACACTGTGACAGGCACCAAAAATATAAGAAGAAATAGTCTTAGTCCCGGCACAAATGAAGACACAAGTCCCGAGGGGGCATAGTCATAAAATAATGTTGTCATAAGGCTGTAAGTGCTCTAGCATAGATGTGTGAAAAGTTCTGTGAGAGCACTGGAAAGAGATGCTAACGTTTATTCAGCTGTTACCTGTCATACTTTCTATTTACTACACCTAGTAATCCTCAAAATAACCCTGGGAAATGGGTGAAATTATTCCCATTTTGTAGTTGAAACTTTGAGGGGTCAAATAACTTTTCAAATGTTCTTAGGCTGACAAAAGATAAAATTAGGATATGAATCTAGATGCTTCTGATTTCAAAGCTTGGGCTGTCTCTAACTCAATATATTGATTCTTGCAACAAAATATATTATACTCTGGCCTGCTTCCCCCACTCTCCTCAATCAAAATTTCTTTAGGATGAATTTTTTAAAAGTTATGCCCACCCCACTCATTTTATCAGCTTTTGCTTTGGGTTGTGAAATGGCTAAAGAAATATTTCTGAGCCTGGAAAGAATGATCTGCCGTCGTTGATTGGTCAATGTTAGGCTCAGTAGGGACTGTGTATACAACTGAAGTCTTCAGAACAGCTAGTCTGTGTGTTTCTGTGGTATATTTTCAAGAGTAGATGTTTGGTATAATGTGCCTAATGGGAAATATATCAGGGTCATCTGTAGAGTGGGCACTTAATAAACTGTATGTAGTAATCTTGTGCCTGAATGATTGAGTTATGTTTCCAGATAATTCTAACACTTGTTTTGTATTTGAGCTATTTTTCTGTTGTGCTTATGTTGTTAAGTCTCTGGTGCAATTATCCTTTTTCCAATGTATTTTTCTAGGCTTCCCAACATAATGTTGGTTAGAATTACCAGAATGAACAAAAAAAATACAGTTAGATTTTAATTTTAAATGAACACTGAATGATATTTTCAGTACAAGCATGTTTCAAATACTACATAAAGATATTTTTAGGAGGATCTGAAATTATTAATAAAATATAACTGTGCATTCTGTATTCTATCTGGCAACCCTACAATGGGTGGTATCAGTAGTGCACTCAACTCACCTCTTACTTGAACTTTCACGATAGTTTTGCCAGGTTAGGAATGATACCAGCAAATCTCAGACTTACCTCATTATTGACTTTTTGTTTCATGTCAGTACCTGGTTTTGAGTGTTCTACTGAAAAATCAGGATCATAGTGAATACTAGGGATCTGGAAGGAGGCCTGGTAATAATGAGACTTCTGGTCTGGAAGGGAGAAGAGAAACGAATAGTTCCTGTTTAGTTCATTTGAGTTGTATAAACATGAGAAGCAGAGGAGATGATAAACAAAATGTCATGTAATTGGCGAACTCCTGAGAATTAAACATTCAGTAGCTGTGGTCAATATCTCCCTCCAACCCTTTTTTAAGATCACACGTTCTCATAGTTACCATGGTTGTCAGGTGTGTCCCGATGCAATTATCATCTGTTAGTGATGATTCATAAATTTAAGCAATAAATTAAATAATGGTAGAATTTAATATAGTCTCATAAGTTGAGCTCTAAGTTAGAATTTCTACTAAAATAATTTTTTACTCTCAACACATTAAATAGTATTAAATCACAAAATTACATAGGAAGTGACTCTGTTGCATTGTTCAAGAGATATTATATAAACTACATGAAATTTTAAATGTTAGCAGTAATTTTTATACATAAAAGGTTATTTTTCTAAAATGTACATAAATTTGTTCAAATGAAACTACATTCTAAAATAATAGAAAATATTAATGTTTTGAAATGAGTGGGTCTTCAAGTTTTCAAAATAATGCAGTGAGATAGATACTTACTGTATGCCAAGAAATGAACAAGGAGACCAATAATTATAGCCAGAATCAACACGATAGCTGTGACAATAAGGGCAATCATCCATGGTTTCAGTGAACTTTTTCTTCTACCCATTGTCTCTGGCCTTTTAAGAGAGAGTTGTATATTAAAAACAACTGCAACTTTAAGATTAAATTTTTTGATGTAGAAAATATTTTATGGAATTTATAGTTAGCTCATATTGCATTTGATAACACTGGAATATATACTCCAAAAAATTTTTCAAAATACTATACAAAATGTAATTGACATTTAACTTCATATTTTTATTTTTATTCATTCATTCATTTATTTAATTTCAGCATATTACGGGGGTACAAATGTTTAGGTTACATATATTGCCTTTGCCTCACCCGAATCAGAGCTTCAGGTGTGTCCATCCCCCCAGATGGTGCCCACCACATCCATTAGGTGTGAATATATCCATCCCCTCCACCCCCTCCCATCTGCCCGACACCTGATGAATGTTATTACTATATGTGCACTTAAGTGTTGATCAGCTAATACCAATTTGATGGTGAGTACATATGATGCTTGTTTTTCCATTCTTGTGGTACTTCACTTAGTAGAATGGGCTCCAGCTCCATCCAGGATAATACAAGAAGTGCTAGATCACCATTGTTTCTTATGGCTGAATAGTACTCCATGGTATACATATACCACATTTTATTAATCCACTCATGTATTGATGGGCACTTGGGTTGATTCCACTTCTTTGCAATTGTGAATTGTGCTGCTATAAACATTCTAGTGCAGATGTCTTTTTTATAGAATCTTTTGCTGCTTTGGATAGATGCCCAGTAATGGGATTGCTGGATCAAATGGTAGTTCTACTTGTAGCTCTTTGAGGTATCTCCATATTACTTTCCACAGAGGTTGTAGTAGTTTGCAGTCCCACCAGCAGTGTATGAGTGTTCCTATCTCTGCATATCCATGCCAACATTTATTGTTTTGGGACTTTTTGATAAAGGCCATTCTCCAGAATGGGAGAAGATATTCGCATATTTTGATTTTTTTAAAAGCCAGTATCATACTATAGTTGACTACTGTTTCATGTAATTATTGGTCCATTATATGAGATGTATTGAATTTTTTTCTTTGTAAATAAATGAATACTGTATATTTATTTCATGTGCTTTAAATCACAATGAACCTTAGAGAGCAAGAGCATCTGGGTCACTCCTCTTATTCTAACGTGGAGAGAGAGGAGCAGAGATTACCAAAACCTCAAGTTGGGTATTGGGAAAGCCAGAAATAGGACTTAGGCTGTTGGGGCTCTTTTCACACCTTTATACTTAAACCCATTGTCCCCATTTATAGTTCTTGTAATCTGTAATGCATATGAAGAGCATCTATAACTGGGAAGATTGAAGAAAATGGAAAAGAACTATGTGTAAAAAATAATTAGCAAAAATAAGAGATAATTAATAGAACAAACACATAGTGGTAGCTCAGGACTTTGGACCCAGGAATTCTATGGTATGATATGATAAATATCTATTTTATAAGGCTATAATATTTCAAGCGTATGATTTTTATAGATGATATTGCATAGGATAAGGACACATTTATTTGAATAAATAAAAATTCAAATTTAAAAAAAAGACAATAATAATACCAGTGGTTTGCAAATGTGGCAAAAACCATGGAAATGGTTTGCAAATGATTAACATTTGAGAAACCTTGTGGAAACAGGAAAATGTGACAGAGCTCTGTCCTTGTCCCAGTGTCACAGCCCGCAGGGTAAAGATAAAATCTGATCAGTTACAGAGTTGTGGGAGGCTGGGATAACACTCACATAGGTTGGTTGCCCAGAGAGATCTAATCCACAAGGGAACTGGACAGGAATATGATCCAGAGAGTTAAAGGTGCTTGTTTGTATCTTGTCTGTCAAAATTACATATGGAAAAGAAGAAGAAATGACTTTACCTGGGATTGGCACCTGGTAGTGGTAAAGTGGAAAGTAAGCCCCAGCTAAATAATTGAATATATCATTTAAGTCACTTCTTCAGGCATCAGTGATCTGGAAGGAGTGAAGATTCCCCTGATATCCTAGGGTCTGGGCAAAGGAGAACCTGGAGGCGGTTTCCCCAGCCCAAAACCATCAACCTGAGCTCTGTTAAGCATTCAAGTAGCACTAACTCTGAGTTTAGCTGGGTTTCTGAAAGGATCTGAGGTTACTCTGGCCTGCTACTCTTTGTTGGGTGGCAAGAGAAAAGCATTAAAATCTTCAAGTATCTAACATGTCTTTAGAAGAGCTGAGTTAGAGCTGGGGCATAGGCAAGAGCTGATGAATGTATTCATCACCGTTACTAACAGAAGACCGTGGGCAATCATAAATTCATTCAGTTGACCTTCACTGAGTTTCTTCTGTATCCCAGGGAAACACCTTCTCCTAGAGATTCAACGTGATTAAAACACAGTCTCCTATCTTAAAGGGTGTGTAATCCAGAGACACATAAAGTAACTACTGTAATACAATTGCTACACGTCATCATGGAATTATGCCCAAAATGCTATTGGAAATGAGCGGATACAAATGATTTTTGCCTTAGAGAAGTTGTATTTGAATTGGGCCTTGAAGGCTGAAGAGGAATTGACAAGAGTGATGTGAGCTTCAGGCAGACAGAACAACAATAAGCAAAGACAAGGAAGCATGAGAACCTAGGATATCAAATACTTGAGAAAATAGAGTATATGAACGGGAGTTGAGGTAAACTCAATTAATGCATTTAGTCGTTAGTTAACTCAGCAGGTATTTATCGAGCACTACTATATAGAAAATAGAATATAAAGACTCTTCAATAGATCTTTCTTTTGAGGAACTGATAGTCTTTTAAAGGAGGAGCATAGTATATACAAATTGCTTTCAGAATTGCAGAAAATTTTAAGGAGAATTTCAAAGAAGGACTAATGATTCTTTGAAGGAAATAATGGCTGAAAAATAATGAAAAATTTTTTTAAAGCTTAAAAAGGCTGGACTCATTTTCTCATTATTTTCCTCTCTGAGTCAGATACAGAAAACAATTTGTAAAGAGGGAGATTATTTTGCAACAAAATTCTCATCTTTAAAAGGATGTGGGCCGGGCGCGGTGGCTCACGCCTGTAATCCTAGCTCTCTGGGAGGCTGAGGTGGGCGGATTGTTTGAGCTCAGGAGTTCGAGACCAGCCTGAGCAAGAGCGAGACCCCGCCTCTACTAAAAAAAAAAATTAGAAAGAAATTAATCAGCCAACTAAAAATATACAGAAAAAATTAGCCGGGCGTGGTGGCGCATGCCTGTAGTCCCAGCTACTCGGGAGGCTGGGGCAGTAGGATCACTTGAGCCCAGGAGTTTGAGGTTGCTGTGAGCTAGGATGACGCCACGGCACTCACTCTAGCCAGGGCAACAGAGTGAAACTCTGTCTCAAAAATAAATAAATAAATAAATAAAAGAATGTGGTTACCTATTCAATTATTACACTTCTAACATCAGAAACACCATTGTGATTGAATTATAGCCATACATACGTCAAAGTGAGAAATTGTTTCAATTTATTTCCTTGCAGACATGGTCTAAATACATATTCTTTGTTTTTTTTTTAAATATTTTATCTCGCTATTTATTATTAATCTAATTTTAACTTAAACATTGACTAATTTCAATGGCTGTTCCAGACTGGTGGAAGATGTGCCTCATAAATACTTGGTAAATATTTATCTACTAAATGAAAGAATGTGTCATAAAGTAGTAGACAGTCCTAAACCATTTGCAAAGCAAAAATTATTTTTAGCAGAGAGTTTCACTGGAGATGAATTGCTTCATCAAGGACAGGAGGAGAAATGAGATTAAGCATTTACCTAGAATCAAGATACTATTACAAATTTTTTACCTAAAAATCACTAAAGGATAATTCTCTCCTTCTCTTTTCTTCTTGGATTCTCCCTATCCCTAATGCTTCCAATTCAAAGAATGGAACTTTGGTCAGACTATCCCAGCAAGACTACTAAACAGGTTCAACTGCAGTTCAGGAAAATCCAGCCTTGGAGAAACCTCTGACTCACAAACAAAAGAAAACAAAGGTGACCTTACCCTTGAGGTGTTTATGTCATTGCAAAGATGAGCAGTGACAAAAAGCTACCTGTTCAGCAGGTCAGTGCAGAAAACCTTTCGCGGAGTCAAAGCATATTTGAAAATTGTCATCTTTTTAATCCCTCCCCTACCTTCATTTAAGTGCAAAGTAGCTCATTATCCAGAATGCTTCCTGGGTCAGTGTTTCTTCAGCAGAATGGAAAGAACTGTTCTTGCTCTTTTCAACATCACCTATTTTCTTTAAATGTTATAATCGTTTACCAAGGTACATCTTCAGATCCTTTCCCCTTGGATAGACCTCTTAGCATGTGTTCTTTTTTCTGGAGATTTTCAAATGTGCTATTTAACCAAAATGTTGGCACCCAGTGATTCAAGGATGAGGGATAAATGGATTTCTTTCTGCCACAGGAAGGGCCGCAAGATGTGAAAGCCCCTAAAAGAGGTGGTTCAGCATCGTGGTTTAGAGGGGGGGTTCTGCAGCCATCCCACCTGAGTTCTTACCCTTGCTCCCCCACTAGGGACCTTTAGCAGTCATTCAAGCTCTTTGTGCTTCAGCTTCCTCATTAGTAAAATGAGGATAATAATACACACTGTCTCAGTCCATTTTGTGTTGCCGTAAAGGAATACCTGAGGGTAGATAATTTATAAAGAAAAAAGGCTTATTTGGCTCATAGTTCTGCAGGCCATACAAGAAGCATGGCACTGGCATCCGCTTGGCTTGTGAGGGCCTCAGGCTGCTTCCACTCGTGGTGGAACGCAACGTGGAGCTGGAGTGTGCAGAGATCACATGGTCAGAGAGGAGGTGTGCTAGGCCCTTCTTAATAATCGGCTCTCCTGGGAACCAACAGAGTGAAAATTCACCCCCTGGTAAGGGCATTAATTTATTGGGTCATTGGATCTACCCCCATGACCCAAACACCTCCCATTAGGCCCTACTATCAACATTGGGCATCAAATTTCAATATGAAGTGTGGAGCGGACAAATATCCAAACCACAGCACCCAC